GCCCCAGCGCCGAGGAGCGTAAAGTCTCCGGGCAGAGGACGGAGCCGGGTCGCTGGGGACCCGGACCACCGCCCGAGGTTCGCGGGCCGGCGGCGCGCCTGGCTCTGGAGCCCCCTCCCTCCGAACCTCCTGCGCTAAGCTGGGCTCGGCCGTCGGTCACCACGGTCCCCGCTTCGGGCAGGCTTGGTCTGAGACGGCTAACAGCCTGCGGCGACAGAAGGACCCTAACGCACCAAGGACCCGCACAGGTGCCAGGATGCCCGCTCCGGACACCCTCTCACCGGCTGCCAGCGGCCTGGCACGTAGATCCTCCCGCCCTCCCATACTTCCGACGCTTTCGCCCAAAACTTTCCAGAAAGACAGCTCTACTTTCGGAAAGGAGAGGAAATCATATTTTCTGGGCTCCTGCTATGGGCAGAACTAGGCATTTTCCTGCGCATCTCATTTAGTCCGTTCACACCTCTCCGCGAGGCGGCATCCCTGCCATCTGATAGTTGAGGAAACTGAGGCTCAGAGAGGTGACTCATTAAGGTCCCAGAGCCGGTAGGCAGCAGCAGCGGCGGAGGCGGCGGCGGCAGCAGAATTCAGGCCTGAAGTGCCAGCCTGGTGGTGGGCATGAGGGCTGGCCAAAGGCCAGCGGTGCAGAGCTGTCTCAGAGGTGACAGAGGTGTGGGTGTGGGTGTGTGTGTGTGTGTGTGTGTGTGTGTGTGTGTGTGTGTGCGTGCACGCGCGCGCCTGAAGAACTCTCCAGACTTTCCCAAACCCCGAGAGCCCAGGTCTGGAGCCTCTCCCTGGAACCCCTCTCCTACCTCTTATTGCTGTGAGGGAGATTCCCACCAAGGACCCAGCTTCTCTGTCACACGGGCCCAGGGGCTCAGCCTGACCATGCTCCCCGCTGCAGCCCTCAGGAGGCGAGGCTGGGCGGGGGCTGGCAGGTAGGCCTAGAAGGCCTCGCTGGGAGCAGGCACAGGCAAACCGTCTGCCTGACGGGACTCAAAAGAGGAGCCCCGCTTTTGAGCAGAACCTTGTCTGTCCAAATGAAAACTCCCAAGGCCATTCTTTGCTACAAAAGCGGCTCATTTGCCACGGGTTGGAGAGGCCATTCCCCCACCCCCACTCCCTCTCGCTGCTGGGTTCGGAATAAACATAAACCTCATTTATAAAAGAACCCACGTCACACACACACACACACTCACACACACTCACACGCACGCACACTCACACGCACCGTCCCTGAAATCACAGGGCCTGGCGGGTGAAGCAGATTGAGCCACTTTGCCCCTTCTGTGTTGAAACAATTTTTTCCCAGATGGGTGATGCTGCAGGCATCTTTAATGAAGCTGGTCACAGGGCGGTGGGGGAAAAGTCCGCGCGGCTGTCAGCTCCTGGAGCCCTCCACCCCTCTCCCACCCCCCCAACTTCTCTCACCTCCTCCCTGCTAGGAACTAAATAAAAAGCAGGAAAATGACTTTCCAAAATAGCCCGCTTCAAAGCGGAACAGAGGACCGGGCTGCGGGAATCCTGAACCCTGTCCTGATAAGGTTCCTAATAATCAAACCCAAACCCCCGCCACCTCCTCTGACTCTGCAACCTCCCCCGGACCCCTCTGCATTTGTTGACGAAAACACTTTGATGTCCTGAGTTCTCCAAACAATTATTATTATAATTTTAAACAACCTGGTATTTTCCATTACTAACGGCTCGGGCTTTGAAGTTACACCTCATAATTTCCTAAATTAAATAAATCATTTTAAGTTTGCACTGGAAGGCTTTTAATAGCAGAGAAAGGAATATCATTATCTTATTGAGACCCAATTGTGGTGGCTCCAGTTTGGCTGTAGCTAGGGGCAAAGTAGACTCACTCTAACAGACATACTTTATTAACCTCCCATAACTCTTGAAAGAACATTTTTATATTTTCTTTGATTCCCCCCCTCCCTCTCTTGTTTTAAAGCTGTCCCAACCTTTAATTAGTGCCTAATATGAAAAGCATTATTTTTTTAATGCTATGTAATTTACCAGCGGCAACAGGCCAACTTAACAATTGTTTATTAGACTTGGTTTTTCACACAGGGCAAAGAATGCCGCTCCAAACCCAACTTTTCATGGGTGGTTGCACTAATTAATACAGTGTCTGAGGCTCCTGGGGGGTTTTTTAATATCGAAGTCTATGGGGGCAGAAGGGGGTTTTAGAAGTCCAGCTCCTTGCCGACAACGACGTTCTTCCTCTGATTTCTTTCCCGCTGTTTTGATCCTGTCTGTGGAGTCAGCACAGACAGAAACTGTTCCCTGGCTCCGGAGACACCGGGGAACCCCCCACCCGCCCCCAGGCCAAGTCCCCAGGGACCCCCAGTACCTCCACTTATGATTTATGGCTTCTGGGGCCCAGGCTCGGGGTGCAGGGAGCCCACTGCTCGCTCAGGGTTTGGGGGGAGGGATGCCCCTTTTCCAGGCCGGAGGAGGAAGGAGCTGGCCCCGGGGCTGGGGTTGGACTGCGTCAGGCTGCCGGGGGGGCGGCGGGGGGCAAATTCCAGCTCTCCCAGGCACCGGGCGGGTCTGGGCTCTGGGCACAGAACCGCCCGAGCCCCAGGCCCGGCCCGGCGAGGGGGAGGGTGGTAAAGGGCCAGGAGGGGCTCGGGCCAGCTTCGGCCTCCGCTTGGCCTCCTTGCTTCTCTCCCCTCTTTTCTCCATCCTTCCGTCCCTCGCTCCCCATTCTCTTTCATTTGTCCCTACGCGGTCCCTTCTCTCGTCCCTTTTGCTTTCCCCTGCTCCTTTTATTCTTTTTTTTTTTATGTCTGTCCCTCTTCGTATCTTTTTACATTTTTCCCCCTATCTTCTCACCGTCTGTGCGATTCCTTTCCACGCTCCCCCTGACGCTCTTTAATGCCCCCTTTTCTTCCCCTTCCCCTGCCTCTCTGCTCCCGCTTCGCTTCTCTTAATAGCGTTCCGCCGTCTATTTATTCTCGTTCTCACTGTCACCCATTCTCTCCGCCACCCCCCCGCCCCCCGCCCCTTCTCTGATTTCATCCTTTCTTCCCCGGTTCCAGCGATTTCGTGCAGGATTCCGAGGGCTCGGCCCGGCCTCGCTCCTGGGGCGCTGTGCCCTGGCGCCGCCCTGCCCTCCCCCGCTGCACCTGGCAGGCGGGCAAGGGACAGACCCCAGAGCAGGAAGAGGGCAGGTCCCTCGGTTCCTCCCAGGAGCCTTGGGCGTCGCGGGCGAGAAGGGCAGCGCGGGGCGGAGAA